GAAGAAGGGTCTAGGCCCGAAACGTCAGCCTTCCTGCTCCTCTGATGCTGCTTGGCCTGCTGTGTTCATCCAGCTCTACACCTTGTTATCTCAGATTCTCCAGCATCTGCAGTTCCTACTATCTCTGAAAGTATTTATTCAATGTTGCTTTTAGTCAGTGTTACAATTAAACCTTAAAAGCCAAAATTTTATCATGTAATCTTTCAAATCCACAGTGGAAGCTTGAATGTCTTTTAAAAAATGAGGATTTTAATATTAGTTTAAAAAAAAAACTACTGGTGAGTCATTGTGTTACCCATAAAGGACTGAGGCAGCTTCAATCACTCAGAGTAGCAGGAATCATTAACACTGGACTCAACACTGCTGCATTTGGCAAGTATTTAAATACCAAATGCCATACAATGACCTTGGATAGTTCACACAATCAGAGTTGTACAGCACAGAAACAGACCCTTTGGTCCAAACTGTCTATGCCAACAGATATCCTAAATTAATCTAGTCCCATTTAGCCCATATCCTTCTAAACCCTTCCCATTCATGTACCCATCCAGATGCCTCTTAAATGTTGTAATTGTCCCAGCCTCCACCACTTCCTCTGGCAGTTCATTACATACATGCACCACCCTCTCCATGAAAAAGTTGCCCCTTAAGTCCCTTTTGAATCTTTCCCCTCTCACCTCAGAGAAATCAGACTTGATTGCACTAGTATCCTATGCTAGACCTGTCCGATATCTATTAATCTCTGTGATATTATATTCTATTATTCAGTGCTAGCCAGCCAGCCAGCCAGCTGTAGCTGACAAAGAACAACTGACACAACCTACTGAAATAAGATGACCAAGACAGACTCAAATATAAAAACTCATGATCTTTTATATGGTATTACATACAACACAGCTACGGTTTACATTGCTCAACTAAAGACAGCTTAAAAAACACTTAGGAAATTTCAAGGTGTTTTTTTAAAAAAAGCAAACATTCTAAATCTTTACACATTTTCTTTTATTTTTGGAAAAACAAACATAAATTTTAATGGCAACATCCAACCTGTGTTTGGGAGGACAGGTTTTGGAAATTAGTTCATCATGGTCCTAAAGCAATAGTAGAAAGGAAAACAGTCTGAACAATAAGACAGCTCTGTATTCATGTTGAAGATAAAATAGGTCCAGTGACCCATGGTTTTCTCTCAGAAAGGGGTGAAAATTGGGCTCAACATGTGTCAAAGAGGACTGTGGCCTAGTGTATGATTTGAGCTCATCAGGGTGAGGTACATTATGTTTCTGGCACGCAGTAGAAGCATGTCTTATCAGGGAAGATACAGTCAAGAGTAATGGACAGATCAAGCAGGGAGCAAGGGCAAATGGGCAGATACAGTAAAGATCCTGTTACTCAGCTCCAACAACACCCTCTGCTGTTTGAGATTTTGACATTTTCTATTCCCTCAGCTGCCATCTCCATGATCTGTTAACCAGAAGAAACAAAGAAGTAGTTCATCTGAGCTGCATCCAAATTCTGATCACAGAGGTGAAAAAACAAGTGCAATTAGACATGAAGAAACAGTTTCAGAGACCTGTTTTGGGTTATGAGGCACACATTTACATGACTTGAATTTATAACTTCTAATTTAGCTGCAGCTTGGATGGGTGGAACAAGATTGAAGAATTGAATGGCCTCCTCCTGTTCCTGTTTAATTTCTCACTGATTGCCCAAACAATCGAACGTCTTTGCTCAGTGAATAAACCAGAGTTCAGCAAGTTGGGCGCAGAGTTTCATCCAAACCAAATCTTTGTACCTAAAATGTAGCATGAATTTGGAAGAACGGGTGTTTATCTTCTTGAAACGTACAATCCTGAGGGAATCTGACAAGGAAGATGCTGAGAGAATGTTTGGCCTTGCAAGAGTGTCCAGAACAAATTTAAAAACAAAAGCTTTCCCTTTTAAGATAGATACAAGGAGGATTTGTTTTCGCTCAGAGTTGGTCAGCCTAGGATTTCTTTTCCCTGACAGCAATGGAGACTTCACCATTTTGGGGAATAGGCAGGAAAGTGGAGTTGACATTGCAATCTGATCAGCCACAATGATGTTGAATCACGTAACAGACTCAAGGGATTGAATGGCCTACTCCTACTCTCATTTCTTTAGATATCAGTTGTAAAGAGGCCAGCCAGTTGTTTTGGAAAGGTGTGTTGCTTTGGTTTAGACTGATTACATTGCAGTCAGTTTGTGTGCTTATGAAGGGTCATCCTAGAACTGGACAAGTTTATATTTCCATTCAAATATTCAGAACTGCCCAATCTGTCAAAATGTTCATCTGGTCATTGGAAAGATTGCTTCTTAAAAAAAAAAAAAAATCGATGTGTTATGGGAATGCGAGCAATGCTGTCAATGTCAGCATTTGTTGCCCATCCCTAATTGCCCCTGAATTCTTGAATTGCTATAGTCCAGGGGGTATAGATACACACACTGTGGTATGAGGGAGGTGCAGGAATTTGATCCAATGACAGTGAAGGAACAAGGATAGGGCAGCACAAGCAGGCTCATGTCACAGGAAATCTAACTCACCCCTGTAATTAAACTGGATGAAAATAAAATAAATCACAACACTTTAAAAGAAACATCTTCTCTGAATGGTATTTAACCCTTTAAAATGTGTTCAGGGATAACTGACAGTGCAAATATTTAATGGAACTGTACATATTTTCCATCTCCTCACGGATAAGGTATATGAGAAGGAATATTTAAAATTTGCTCATTAAAATCACAACGGTAACTGAAGTCATGGCACAACAGAACTAGATTCATGTTGTGATTCAGTGAGCAATTCTCCAAATAATATGTGATTCTGGTAATAGATAGTTGGCTGTACTCATACTCAAATCTCACTGCGTACTTACAATTGCCTGCCCCGAGTGTCAAAATAATTTATGGTTTCCTAATGATAGGAACATAGAAAAGAGAAGCAAGAGTAAGCCATTCCACTCCTTTTCAGCCTGATCCAATATTCTTGACCTTAACACCATTTTTATGCACAATCCCCACATCTCTTAATATCTTTATTATTGAGCAATCTATTCATCCCGATCTTGAACAGATTCAATGACTGAACCTTCACAGCTATCTGGAGGTACAGAATTTCAAAGATTCAATTTCTCCAGTGAAGAAATTCCTCCTTATCTCAGTCCCAAATGTCTCACCCTTTTATTCTGAGACTATGTTCACTGATTGGATGTATCGGGCGACACGGTGGGTCAATGGTTAGCACTGCTGTCTCACAGCACCAGGGACCCAGGTTCAATTCCACCCCCAGGTGCGGTTTGCACAAGTTTCTTCCAGGTGCTCCGATTTCCTCCTACAGTCCAAAGATGTGCAGATTAGGTGGACTGGCCATGCTAAATTGCCCAATAGTATCTAGGGATGTGCAGGCTATGTGGATTAGCCATAGGGAGGTGGGTCTGGATGGGATGCTCTCCAGAGGGTCAGTGTGGATGCGACAAGCTGAATGGCCTGCTTCCACACTGCAGGGATTCTACTCATTTTAATTCCTCCCCCCCCGCCCGCCCTCCTAAATTCTCACCAACACTAACCACGAGGGATATCCTTCCTGCATTTAACCTGTTGAGCTCTGGAAGACTTTTGTATATGACTACTGCAGAACTACTGCAAAAATTACAAATCAACTGTGTCCACACTACAGCCCTGCCTGCAAACAAATGGAAGAACAACACAGCATTGTTATATTAAAAGTCATTGTATGAAAGGCAAATTGTCACTGAATTTTTCAAACCTTGTTCTGAATGTCTCAGCTAATTTGACAAAATCACCACAGTTTTATTGTGCAATTTTAAACTATGGTACAGATGCACAATTACTGGCTCACGCACAAACTCTCCATGCAGAGAAATTTTCTTGATGATGACTGTATTTGACATGAGATGGTACTCATTTCTGAAAAGCTGCTACAGAGTGGCCTCAAAGACAGCATTACCCTACACTAAAGAACTGAAAATACAGCAAAGCAAAGGTATGGTGTTACTTTTCTTCCAACAATTTGTATTTGTAGAGCATCTTTGTGGTAAAATATTCCCAAGGTGCTTAAGTAAAGATTAAGCATAATGTCTGAAGCTACCATCTGTATTGAACTGAATCCTGAACTGAAAACCAGCTACAGAGTAACTCAAGAAAAAAAGTTATGAAGAAACTCAACAACTTTGGCAGCATGTGTGGTGAGAGAAACAAAGTTAATATTTTGAGTCCAACATGATTCTTTAGAGCACATACAGAACCAGTTTACTTCCAATGGGCAGGTAATTACTCTCCATTACTAAAAACATTATTTTAATGCTATCTGGTTAGTACAATAACATGTTCATACAAAGAAACTACTGGGGCAGTAATGAAGTATTAAAATTAAATGAGAGAAATTGTTTCCAGTGACAGGTGTCAGAGGGCACACAGATTGCCAAACGATTCAATTTTTTTTAATGCAGTTAGGTGTGATCTGAAATGCACTGCCTAAAAGCACATGGAAGCAAATTCAATAAATACCTGAACAGGAAATTTTTGCAATGAGTTGGAAAAAGGGTAGGACAGGAATAGCTTAACAAAATACTCTGATCTTAACACCGAATGTCCAGACTCACTTCCTTTGACAGCACTTTCCAAATCTGTGACCTGCACCATCTAAGAGATAAGGGCAGCAGATATATGGGAACACCATCACTTGCAATTCCTATCCAAACCACACACCACCCTAATTTAGAAGTATATTGCCGTTCCTTAAGTGTCACTAGGACAAAATCCTGGAACTCCCTCCCAAACAGTACTATGAAGGTCTTGTACAATGGTTCAGGAAGATGGCAAACTCACTAGCTTCTCCAGGATAATTAGAGATGGAGAATAAGTGCTGACCTAGCCAGCGATTCCCACAGCCTGTGAGCGAATAAATAAAACCAAGAACAATTACCCAAGTATTTGTCAAAGTTGTTCAGGAAAGGAAAGGGTAAGGGCTAAAAGGTAATGGACAAAGAGACAAAATTTTACAAGGCTTTGCTTGTCTAAAACAAGTGTAAGGTAAATCCTATGATTCTGTATGAGGGCAGTCTATGCAGAGAATCAAGTGTGGAATGGGAAAATTAATTACAACCCTCACAAGCTGTGCTCAAAGCAATGGATCCATACTCGAGTATCTGCATCAAAAAGAATCCATGGGAGAATGAAACCAAGTTAATGTACCGAGGACAGAATAGGAACTGCTGTGAAACAACAGAAACTGCATTTTCAATGATATGATATAATTCAATTGAAATAGAAAGGACACTGCAAATATATAACAGGTAGTTGAGCACCTAAAAGTTAAATGTAGGTTTGGCACCTATGAATCTGTGCTTCCATTAGAACACTGCATTTTCTTGTTTCAGTGGGCAACTGAGTAGTTACATATTTCTAACTTTTTCTTTTATTCCAGATTCGCAGTTCTAAAACAAAAAAAATTATAATATACATTTTTAAACATTACAGACTTACAAGATGACATGTACCCCTGATAACAATTAGGTTTCAGCACAAGATGATCCAGCGCTTGTTTTCATATTTGGTGTTGAAGTGATCCCACGTAGGGCTGGTCAATCCACAACCTCTATGGTGAATCGTATTCTTCCCACTGAGCCTCCGGTATCTGGCTTACCTTGTCTTGAATGTTTAAAACCAGGCTTTCACCCCATTCAATAATAATTACAATACTATGGGAAAGGGTACAGAACAAATGTGTTCCTCCACAGCCAAGTTTTTATGGACAATATATTATTCAGTTTTCTGCTATTCTTCCAGTTCCAACAGTCCTTAAAGGTCAAAGGCCTGGCATGATATAAGCAATGTTATCCAGAGTATGGGCCTGGGTGGATAAAGAAAATATCATTAGAAAGCAGCTTTTATAACTAAAGAGGACGATCTGATCTTAGCCCCACTAATGCTGTGCAAATTCCATCTCCTTTCAGTCTTCCTTGGCCAAACAAGGGGCTTAGAGGAAAAAACACACAACCAAAAAGCCACTGTCTCAACCAACATGCTGTACATGAAGCAGAACTTGCAGAAAAGATCCTCCTTGAATCAATGAGTGCAAGTCCCTAGAAAATACAGCAAATGGAACTCCCAACCAAAACATCTCCCACAAAAGGGCAGCACGGTGGCTCAGTGGTTAGCACTGCTGCCTCACAGCGCCAGGGACCCAGGTTCGATTCCACCCTCGGGCGACTGTCTGTGTGGAATTTGCACATCCTTCCCGTGTCTGCGTGGGTTTCCTCCGGGTGCTCCGGTTTCCTCCCACAGCCCAAAGATGTGCAGATTAGGTGGATTGGCCATGCTAAATTGCCCCTAGTGTTTAGGGATGTGTAGCTTAGGTGGGTTATAGGGGGATGGGTCTGGGTAGGATGCTCCAAGGGTCAGTGCGGACTTGTTGGGCCACAGGGCCTGTTTCCACACTGCAGGGGTTCTATGATCTATGAAAAGCAGGGTGAAACATAGGTAGTAAGTTTAAAAAAAAAAGAATTGCGGATGCTGGATATTTGAAACCAGTACAGAAATTGCTGTAGAAACTGAGCAGGTCTGGCAGCATCTGTGGGGAGAAAGCAGAGATAATGAAGAAGGGTCAGTGGACTTGAAATGTTAATTCTGCTTTCTCTCCACAGACACTGTTGAGTTTGCTACGTATAGTCCAGGCACGACTGATGGGGAGAATTAACCTTGTGGTGAGGAATAATGTGCTTGCGGGTGTAGTAGTATGTTGGAATGTGGATGACACTTGCTTGGGTCCTGCAAATACAATCTGTTAACATGAGAAGGCTGTTGTACTGGAGTTACAAGACGATACTGGATGACCAGGAAACTTCCCCACTTTCATTGCCTACCAAGGGCAAATTGGAAGCACTGTACCAAATGAGAATAAACTTGTTATGATGCACTTTCTTTGGCCATCAATTCAAAAGGTAAGACTTGAACCTGAAGCTCCAGGCGCTAAGGTAGGGATACTACCACTGTGCACAATGTCTTAAGGCCAAGGAATACTGTCATAGTCAAGAGAAAAAAAAAAGGATCCTGTTCTTTATCATTTTTAAGTAGCCCCTGCACTCATCTAGATAGGATCAAGTAAAGGTGTGGTGGCCTTTCGGTCAAAACAGTCTGCCAATACTCAGTTGCCAGGCTTAGAAACGAGTAATATCTAATATACAGAAGGCATGTAAAGTTGTTGGAGCATATCAAATGGAAAACCATAGTTCCCATTGATGTTGTAAATTCAGTAAAATAAAACTAAGCTGGTCTGAATCACAAAACAAATACAAACCTCAGCAATTTAGCATCCAAAAGCCAAGATAGTGCCATGTCAGCAATGGAGTGTTTATTGACTACAATTGCTTATGCGCTCTGTGGCAGAACAGACAGACCCACTCTTATACATTAAAGTCAGCAAGTATTTAAAATGAAGAGAGATAAGGAAAGAAGTAACTTGTATACGACAATCTTCAGAAAATGTTTAAGTATCACTACTTAGGAACAGGGCAGTTGGAGAATCACAAAAAAAATGAGGCACTGTTTTATGAAAAGGAATTCATGTTTGACTAAATCAATAAACTTTTTTCAGAGTATAATGAACAAAACATATTCTGCTTTTCCATTCTTCCAAAGTGATTAATATCACACTTTTTCACATCTCAATCCATCTGTCACTCTCTTACCCACTCATTTAACCTGCCTACCTGCAGCTGCCTCTCAGTGTCCTCTTCACGGTTTACATTCCCACTTAGCTTTGCAAACTTGAATACACGACCTTCGGCCTCGTCATTTAAATAACTGATATGGACTGTAGAAGCTAGTATCAAGTGCATATCCTTGTGGGATTCCACTAGTTCTACATTGTTATCCTAAAATGATCTTCTGCTGTCTGACAATCAACTGCTCCTCAACATTGTCTTTCAATCTCATGAGTCAGAATCTATGTAACAACTTATCGTGTGAAAATTCAAATATATCACATCCACTCAGTATCCATTATCACCTTTTTGAAAGTTACCATTGAACCTGTTTTAACTGCCTTTTCATAATAACGCACTGTTTTGACAAAAAAAAATTTCCTCATTCCTAGGCTTTGTTTCCCAATTACCTTGAATCTGTATCTTCTAGTTGTCAGTCTATCTGCCATTAAAAAACAATTTCTATCATTATGATAACAGAAAGAGTCTCATATTCACTTGGTAACACCAGAACTTAGTACTGTTGCAAAAAAAAAATGTTGAAATCTTTCATCCTGCACTCATCAGGACAAACACAAGGATGAATAAATTCAAAAGGGAGCAACAACTGAAATTTGTTATTCATGCATTTGTCCTGATATGTGCATGATGAAAAGCTTTGCCACTTTTAGAAAGATTTGCTTTGACTTATTATTGTCACCTGTACCTAGGTACAGTGAAAAGTTTTGTTTTGCAAGCAGTACAGGCAGATCATACCATACAAAGTGCATAATGGTACGAGAACAGAGCAACAAATACAATGTTACGGCTGCAGAAAAGGTGCACAAAAAGCGAGGTCAAAATTAAATTTGAGAGGTCCATTCAGAAGTGAGAAATTAGGACAATCCTGACTCAAACATTAGGTTAAATTCTACAGCACCAAGCAGTGTCTTAGCTCACTTGCTATCAGAAGTCTTGACCGAGTAGAGAGAGGCACAACCTCAGCTTTGCTGACTCATAGAACGATTTGCACATTGTCAAATCTCCTTGGAAGAATGCAATGTATTAATTTTGATGGCAAATTGGTGCAAGGTGGGAAGGGAAATACTTTACCAGGACTTCTTTTGGACAGCCATTGAGACAATCAACCTGCGCAGTGAGGCAAGTTAAGGGACCAAGTGCACAGATGATGGAATCCAACAGGACAGAGAGACTCCCAGACACTGCCACCATCCCCTAGGAAAAGAATGAGACATTTTAGGTCTATCCATTCTCTTAATTCAAAGGCAAAAGTATGATTCAGTTAGATATAGTTCTAGCTTTAACTTTTCAAAAAAAAACAAAAAAAAGGTCATCCCTGAGTTTCAATAACAGGTATCATTGAGACTCTAGGACCAGGAAGGTCCCAAATTTGATTTCCAGGGATTAATCCTTATGATGGCAGAGCTGGGAAAAACGACAATGGTTTCAAAATTATTGAACTGAAGAAATGTTCTCAGTGCCAGCTCCCAATTATTATCCAGTGACCAGCGCTGGGAAGTGTACACGGATTTAAGGTGAACATAGTTTGAGATATGACTCTGCATTTGGTCAACACCATTAAAGTGTGGATATTGGGGATGAGGATAATGACGTCACATTTCCAAGCTATACGGTTTTAAACAAAAGTTTTCTTTTCAACTATCTGTCAGATACATAGTAACGCTCCCTTGACTCCAATAGCAGGTTTCAGATAGCCTCATAGAAACATCCTGTCTGTTCCCTTCTCACAGTCAGCAACTCAAGGCTTCTTCCAATGATAAAGCCAGAGAAAGCTTTCTGGCGTTAAGTTTGATGAGGAACTGTACAGCTAGCAGACAGTAGAGGATTTCATTCCATCCGTCTGATCTTCACTCAAGCCCGAGTCCTGAAGATCAGAGAATACCATTCAACACACTGCATTACACAAATGTCTTGGTTCTCACAAAAAAAAAAGACTCACTAACGTAGGAGACCTGCTAAAGTTCATGAGGCAAGGGCAGCATCAACACAAGAAGATTTAATATTGTGAAGTAATATCTGGGCAGCATGGACGAGTTGGACCAAAAGGTTTGTTTCTGTTCTGTACAACTCCAATGACACCAAATTTCAGTTTTAAAGTATGCATTGTTACATAGAATGTTACAGCACAGAAAGAGGTCATTCAGTCCAATTAGTTCATGCCCACAAAAAGTACTCCAAAACCTTTCCATCTGACTGCATCAGCATATCCTCCTATTCCTTTCTCCCTCAGCTCTATCCAGCTTCCACTTAAAAAACATTGAGGTAGGGTACTTCAAGAATGAGGGAGTTTACATCATTGTAATTTCACTCAGGCAGGGAGACCGTTTTTAACCTTTAAAGATAGCCGTGGTAACAAAATAAGTTGACCACTGCAGGGCAAAATTAAAATTTCTATTTAAATTTGGTGTTCTGGGCAAACGTTAAAGGAAATCACATGGGTGTAGTGTGGAAAATCCCTTTTATCTTTGTGTAAAATAACTCAGATTTATCTTCCAGTTAGTTTTTCTCCCGTATTTATTAAGGTTTTAGAGTTCGAAGGAGTTCGAAATTCCTTTGCGCTAGATTACCATCAACATCTCACCTCAGTTTCTTGCAATCGGTGACCTATGAGACTCAATGATTCACCCAGAAGCTGCAAGTGGGCTGCGACATCAATCGGATCAACCTCAGGCATTTTAATGGGGGATGAGGAGTGACTGCTTCCTCCTAATCCCACCAAATGTGATGATTTCTTGTGTGATGTTGCCATACTGGACAGAGATGAAGAATTTTGTCTGCCTGAAATACGGAGAGATTAAGAAAAGAGGAAATCATAGGATTGGTTCATAGCAACAGTGACAGACAGGTTCCAGAAAGGACCCTCTGGTCTATCCAGACTGTCTCACACAATTCCGACACCTTTTGTCTATAACATACACATTTGCCAACGCAAAATCACTGAAGCCATTGAAAAGAGGTGGAAAGAGCATGTTTAAAAATTCAAGAACATCTTGGGGAATAAGTCGTTCAGGAAATTCCTCTCTCCTCTTGGAATCTCACTGTTCATCTCTTGAACCTGAGACAACAAGGTGTAGAGCTGGATGAACACAGCAGGCCAAACAGCATCATAGGAGCAGAAAGGCTGACGTTTCGGGCCTAGACCCTTCATCAGAAAAGGGGGAGGGGAAGGGGGTTCCGAAATAAATAGGGAGAGAGTGGGAGGCGGATAG